CCAATGTTGGTCCGAATATTATTTTCTAGACCAAAGTTGGTCCGAATATCATCCACAGTGTACCCCTTTTTTTTTTTTTTTTGACACCTTAAACTATATGCGATCCATTGTAATCTCACTTCAACAACAACATTTAAAGGCCTTGAATAGCTTAGAACCTATACTTAAATCCAAAAACCTCTGGAAAGTCAGGTTATCCATAAACAAAAAGAATGAAAAAGTCTTAGAAGAAAAGTTTCTAGATTCTGTGGAAGTTATTCGGACCGATGTTGGTCCGAATATCATTCAAAGTGTACCTCTTTTTTTTTTTTTGACACTTTAAACTGTGCGTGATCCATTGTAATCTCACATCAACAACAACATTTAAAGGCCTTAAATAACTTAGAACCTATTTTTAAAACTAAAAATAACAATTCAAAGGGTATATGGTTTTGTAACAGTGTGGCATAAGTATAAAGTTAATAATCTTAACTCCTTGCGTTTAAGATTTTACAATGATGTTGACTTCTGTGACGAAAAATCAATTTCAGGTGCTTGACTGATGGTGCCGGGGTTATGCGTGACTATAGTGGTTCAGTGTGTGCACATGGCTTCGATAGAAATGGAATCGAGGCTCGAGAAAACCTAGTTGTCCTTAAATGAAAGGAATGAAAAAGTCTTAGAAGAGAAGCTTTTAGATTCTGCGAGAGTTATTCGAACTAATGTTGGTTCGAATATTGTTTTCTAGACCAAAGTTGGACCAAATATCATCCATAGTGTACCTTTTTTTTTTTTTTTTTTTGACACCTTGAAACGTATGTGATCTTTTGTAATCTCACTTCAACAATAGCATTTAAAGGCCTTGGATAGTTTAGAACCTATACTTAAATCCAAAGGCCTCTGGAAAGCTAGGTTATCTGTAAACGAAAAGAATGAAAAAGTCTTAGGAGAGAAGTTTGTAGATTCTAGTGGTGTTATTACATCACAAAAAACCAATTTCAGGTGCTTGACTGATGGTGCCGGGTTATGGGTGACTACGGTGATTCAGTGCATGCACAAGGCTTTGGTAGAAATGGAATCGGGGCTCGAGAAAACCTAGTTGTCCTTAAATGAAAAGAATGAAAAAGTCATATAAGAGAAGCTTCTAGATT